GAGGCATCCTGTGGAAGAACAAATTTACCTGGTGACGGCCAACAAGAGAGCAGCTGGCATGAACGGAGACGATGGCGCCGGTGGCGGTGTCTTTGAGCGCCACTCGGCGTCCCACACCTGCTCAGTGGATACCGTCAAGCAGGTTAGTATTTTCTCATGCGACGCCATGGGCAGATATTTATTTTTGTTTTGCACTTGTTTGCAAAAAAAAAAAAAATTGATTCATTGCATTCTATTTCTTTGATACGGAGCTCGTTTTGTTCTCTCTATTGGGAATATTTTATTGATGCTGTAAAATCTCGTTACAGCAAAGTTGTTGAGGGGGAGGAGCTTTGTTGTAACAAAAAATTCGTTATAAAGAGATTTGAATAAAGTCATTGTTATTGGGCAGGATATCCAGGACAAATTGAAACAGGGCCAATTTCAGTCAGTGCCAATTTGAGACTGGGCCAAATTGAGACAGGTACTTATGGAGACAGGGACAATTTGGGACAGTAACTTTTTGAGACATGGACAAATTGAGACAAATATATTTTGAGAATTTGAGAGGGATACATTTTGACACAAAATGACTTGACTGTGTTTCTCCCTATTATCTTACCTTTAAGGTAAGAAAATTAACAAAAATTGTGATGTTTGGTGAAAAGTCCATGATCCCAGGGTGTTTCTCTCTTTTTTTTTGTCACTCATCATTCGCAAGTGAATTTTCCTCATCAAGGAAAAACTCAAATCTTTGAACGAATCTAAGCGGATTCCTCTCCTCATCAAGATGGTTCTTGTCTCAATTTGTCCCTGTCTCAAATTGGCCCTATCTCAAATTTTCTGTCTCTATTTGCTCAGTCTCAAATTTTCTGTCTTGATTTGTCTCTATCCCCTTTGAAACAAATGCTTTTTTATGCTGTACTTTATCAAGATTCAGTTGAACCTCAATAACTCCAACCTCCCTAAGTCAAATTATTTTCGAGTCCCTGTCTGAATTGTTTCAGAAGCAATGTATTTTGAACCTTTCTAACTCAAAGGCTTTCCCTCTCAAATCTCTGTAACTTGAATTTTCTGAGGCCTTTTGGCAATCTTTTTTTTCTTGACCCAGGCAAAAGAGAAAAGGAAAGAAAAATTAACTTCATGTGTTTTGAAAGGTAGTGAAAGACTAATTGGTCAAATGAATCCTTGCTTTGAAGTTCAGCTTCCTGTCAACTCATTCAAGAAGCAATTCAAGGCCCAGAATATCACCATTCACAAAACGTTTTCAATTTTTACTATCTTACCCACAGAAAAAATTATTGTTTTTCTAACTCGAACTATTGCTGGTTCTTTGAAATTCGACTTGAAGAGGTTCGACTGTCTTTAATTTGAAACTGCACAGAATTTCGCAGTTTATTTTTTTATTGTAAATTCCTGATCATCTTGAGAGATTTTCGTGATTAGTGCTGTTGGAAGGTGTGATCAGAATTGGAAGTGACCCTGCGTTCCTTTAATTTAGCCACTGTATGTGGATTATTTCTGCAACAAAATTCAGGGGGGACTAGAAAAAAATTCGTTGTGAAGAGAATTTCGTTGCAGAGAAACCCCTATTGAACGCGTAGACTCCTAGAGAACCCCTGAGACATCAAAAATAAATTTGATATGCAGAGAAGAAAAAAAATATTTTTCGACGAAAATAGTGATTCTACCTGTAGCTTGTATTTGAGCTTGCTTGGAAACATATTATTGTTCTATCCTAATTCTCAGAATCTCTTCGTACGTTTTGTTGCATGTTGGCATTATTGTTTTGTATTGTGAATGAGAAAGTTTGATTCCTGTACTGTAGTGTATTGTACTGTAAGCATCGTTTGCCTACGCTTTTGGTCCAAACCTTTTCTTGAAAGATTCTTTTCTCTGGATGAAAATTAGTGTTGAATTTGTTAAATTGCCTTGGTCTATTTTGGAAAGCCATGAAATTTCTGAATTTTAGTGTGAAGTTGATCCCTCTGAAGTGTTGTAAAATACAGTGGGACCCCCAGATGCGGATGTAATTGGTGCATCAAGAGTGTCCCCAAGTCAAATATTGTTTTCTCATAGACTTACATTATACTTTATAAATTTTAATTGGTGTTTTATGGAAGAAATATTCTTCAGAATTCCATGAAAAGATTTTTTGCCACTTGAATTTGATTTAGTGAATATATTTCCAACTCAATAAGCACATTTGGAGCATTGAATTGTGTATATCTGTACTGTACATTGAAATGTTTGCATCTACAAAAATAATATTCAAGTCACAAAGAGAGAAGGAAGTCCCTCTGTGCTATAGGTAATTTTTTAAATTAGCTGAATGAATGGGAAATTGATGGGAGAAATGAAAATGAATTTTTCTTGCATAAATCTTAGGGTTGGAAATATCTGTTTCTTGCAATGAAGCCAAATAAAAGTCAATTTTTGTGAAATGTATTGGCAATTTTATCATGCAATGTCCTCATCTTGAGTCAGTGTCTATTCATTGGGCTTTTTTATGATTGTTTATTGAAAAAATAAATGTACCCATGTTGAATTGTCCTCATGTCAAGGTTTCCGCATGTGGGGGTCTCACTGTAATTTGCTTTTTTCTGGAGGTCTGGCTGTTTTAGTCTTCAAAATATCACATCAGAATTTCCGGAAATGTTTATTGCCTTAATAATTTGGAAATAATTGCGTTAATAATTTGGCAATAATTGCGTTAATAATTTAGCCTGAAAAAACAACTCCACAGCGAGTCTCTGCATGAAGAAACTAATCCGTACCGTCGTATAGAATTTTCCTAATACGAAACATCCTTTAAGATTATTGTAGGAGATTTAATTTGTTCCAGAGATTCGTGAAAAACTCCATAAGAAACCAAAAAATCGTGTAATTTTCAGCGAAAATTGTGAATTTGATTGGTATGAAACTGATGTAAATCTGACGAGTTGCAAGTCTTGAATTTCTGATTTTGATAAATTTAAAAACGAGAAGAACCACAACTGAGTGATCCTTTTCTAATTTTTTCCCGAAAATGTCATGGAATTCTATCGTTTTTCGACCATACATTTTCTTATTTGAAACAATTTCGTTGTGCGAAGTCACTTTGTCACCTCTATAAAAATTTTTGGAATGCGAAATTTTCGTCGCACGTGTGTCTCGTGATACGGGGACCCACTGTATGCATGGAGAAGCATGAAAATGTTTAATTCGAGAATATTTTAGGAATGCTTTGTAGAAGAAAAAAAAAATGTCGTGTTTTTATTGATTTTCGTACTCCCATTTTTAAATGTCGCCCTTTCTTTCCGTGTTCCCTGGGTTCTTCGAATTTGGGTTCCTCTCCATTTTTGTGCCGACACTGCCTGAAAAAAAAAATTTTTCAAAAAATAAAATCACGGACGAACAGCGGACGAAGGTGGATAATTTCAAGTCGAGTCGGTCGGCGTCGATCCCGGGTTCAGGCGTGGCACGCCGACACAATCATCGGTTCGCCGCCAGCTGGAGCCACCAGCAGCACGCCACCGCCAAAAAGGACGCCGGCCCGTGTCCGTCAGACAAGAGTGGCGGCGGCGGCGGCAGCGGCGGGATGCCGAGAGCCTCGTCCGTCTGTCGGCTTGATGTTGTCCAGTCCCAGGTATACCCCCCACCTCCTTATTTTCTTTTGTTTTATTTTTTATACCTACAGTACTTTGTTTTATTCTGGCATGTGGTTCATATGTTTGTTTGTTTTGTTTTTTTTCAGTGTGCGAATGGTTGTTACCATCCCCTAGTTATTATTCCGGATATCCTTGCCTTTTGTCCGGTTTTGTTATCTGATAAATAAGACCTATGTGCATTTGCAATACAGTATTTATGTTGATGAGCTTTTGCTATTAATAAAGTTTTTTTTTTTAATTTGAAATATTGAAAAATTCAGGTTGGCGTTGGAGAAAAGTATTTTCAACTATTGAAGCAAGTTTCATACTGTATTTCAAAGAATAACTCTTGAATTTTTGGTGCATTTCTCCAATTTTTGATATAACGCGGAATTACATTGTGCCCAGGTTTTGACTGATTTATGTACAGTATTTTTGAATATTGATCATATACATATCAGCGCATTGTTAAGTTATCAATATATTTTTTATCATGAACTGCCGAAGAAGGATTGAAATCAGTGATAAACGCATTGAATGTCTTCTTTACTTTTAATCTTTTCTGCACTTTTGTGTTCACTCATTGAGATAATTGAAGTCAAAAAGTGTTGAGCTTATGGCCAGGTTTTGACTGTTTTATGTATTTTTAAATATTGATCATATACATATTAGCACATTGTTAAGTTATCAATATATTTTTTATCCTGAACTACCAAAGAAGGATTGAAATCAATGATTAACGCATTGAATGTCATCTTTGCTTTTAATCTTTTCTTAAATTCTGTGTTTACTCATTGAGATAATTGAAGTCAAGAAGTATTGAGCTTGGCCAGGTTTTGACTGTTTTTATGTATTTTTAAATATTGATCATATACATATTAGTGCATTTCAAGTTATCAACAGTTTTATCCTAAACTGCCAAAGAAGGAAGGATTAAAATTAATGATGAACGCGTTGAATGTCTTCTTTGATTTCAATCTTCTCTTCCTTTCTGTGTTTATTCATCAAGATAATTGAAGTCAAGAAGTATTGAGGTTATGGCCTGGGTGATGCGAATGAATCTACTTCTCTATGCAAAGGCAGGAGTGCAATTTTAATTCAATCCCAGTTTGTCCAACAACAGAGTATTCCAAACCAGCAATGAGCACTGTAAGAGTGTTTGGACACTCCTTTATAGATTCATTGGATGCGCAAGACAGGTGTGTGACTGCACATGGAATAGAAAGGAAACCTGGACAGTCAGAAGAGGAATGACCATGGACCAGACAATGTGAAATGATTTGGTTGCTACCAACCAGGGGTTGGGAAATGCTCACATGAAAATCACATTGAAGCCAGGGTATTCTTAACATGTTACAGGACTCCCTCAATTGTATGATGACAATATGTGTAAAGCCACTGTAAATGAAACTTCTGCTGCATGCAGACCCTGAGAAAATTAACTGAGTATTATCAGTTGTACAGAATATCTCAGTCTGTTGCAGATTCCTCAGAAATGTCCTTGATGCGTTCTTGAGTCCATTTTTAAAGGAGTTCAGTGTGACAAATAAATTGGCAAACTTATGCTGCACTTTAGAAGCAAGAATATGGATCTAAACGTGTCCTTCCTGTGTACAGCTTTCTGATGCACTAGCAATATATTGTATTAGGCTTGCATCACATTTGCTTGAAATTAATGTTTTTGATGGACAATCATTATTGCATTATACAAGAGAGAAGTAAGACTTATGGGAAATTTTAATTGGTGATATTCTGAGCCTTAAATTGCTTCTTGAATGAGTTCACAGGATACTGAACTTTGTGGAAAGTATTTATTTGCCCAAACAGTCTTCCACTTACCTTCAGAAAAGAATCGATTAAATTTTTATTATTTTTTCTTGGTTCCAATAAATTAATAGACTGATTATTGACAAGAGTATATTTATGAAAAGATACGCCCCTTTTTTAATGTTTCTCTGTAGAAAGGGAGTGCTTGCTCACTTTTTGCCAAAGATATCAAAATTTTGCAAAAGTGGAATTTTTACATTTTTCAAAAAGCCTCGAGAAAATTCGAGTAACGAGGTTTGATGGGGGAAAGCGTTTTGAGTTAGGGTGATGTTTTTTAATGCGTTGTTTCCAAGGTTGACTTGACAACAAATTTGACAAAGGGAGGTATTCGGATTTTGAATGTTCAAGAATTACTGATGATGATTTCACCTCCTCAAGCCGAAATAATTTTTTTGATTTTTTATTTTCCTTTGAAAAAAAAAAAAAACTGTAGTTTCCGACGAGTGCGAATGGACTGCACAAGATGGACTCTGACGACGGGGTTCCAGCAGTGGTCAAGGAGCGACGAGAGCGGATCAGTGTTTCCAGCGAGAATAGCGTGCTTTTGGACCCGGAAGTTATTGCGGATTTCACCATTCAAGCCCTCACACTCACCGTGTTGGCAACTCTAGTCAAGAACTCGTCTGACGAGGCTGAGCTCAGGGTTTTGTACGAATACCTGGCTGAAGCCTCTGTTGTGTTCCCTCGGGTGTTTCCCATCATGTGAGTTTCACGATAAGGACTGTGGGATTTTATTTTTTATTCTTTTTTATTATTGTTGCTTATTTTATTTTTTGTAATTTTTTTTTCTTGGTCAGATGATGTCTTTTTTTTCCTTTAGATTTTATTGAAATTGGGAACAGGTCAAGAGTTGAAGTGGGGTCCCGAGATGCGGACTTAATTCATTCTTTGAAATTGTGTGTTCCTATAAGTGATGATGATGAACAAACTTTATTTTCCGCTTTGCAGCGTTTACAAAGTCCAAACAATGTTCCCGCATCTAACTTCCTTATTGCATCCAGTGTCACAAAAAGTTAACATTTTTATTCATATCATATTTGAGGTTTTATATACGAAACAGTCTTTAGGTAAAATTCAGAGGGATTCGGAAGAAATTAGACTTGAGAGGGTTTTTGACGTGAGGAAATCAACATTTTTGTTTGAGGGGGAAAATAATACAGAATTATAGGAAGGTACAATTTTTGATGCAGCGTTTTGGCGAATCATCTTGAAATTTATTATGAGGGTGTCACATTATATATTTTTTTGTTTTCCTGATGTTTCGATGAAGAGTTTTTGCTCATTCATGTCGAAATTTATTGCAAGGGTGCTACAATGTTATTTACGATTTACAGTGAGACCCCCACATGCAGACACCTCAACATGGGGACAATTTGACGTAGGGACATTTATTTTTCAATGAAGAATCATGAAAAAGCACAATGTATGGACACTGACTCAAGATGAGGACATTGTATGATAAAATTGCCATTAAATTTAACAAAAATTGACTTGTATTAGGAATAATTGCAAGAAACAGATATTTCCAACCCTAAGATGTATGCAAGAAAATTTCTTTTTCATTTCTCCCATCATTTTCCCATTAATTCAGCTAATTAAAAAAATTACCCATAGCACAGAGGGACTTTCTTCTCTCGTTGTGACTTGAATCTAATTTTTTTAGATGCCAACATTTCAATGAACTGTACAGCGGTGTACCTTTCTATGCTCCAAATGTTCTTATTGAGTTGAAAATATATGCACTATATCAAATTCAAGTGGCAAAAAAATTGTTCATGGAATGCTAAAGAATATTTCTTCCATGAAACACCAATTAAAAATTATATAATGTAAGTCTATGGGAAAACAAGACTTGACTTGGGGACACTCTTGATGCACCAATTATGTTTGCATCTGGGGGTCTCACTGTATATCTTCCCGATATTTTGTTGGAGTTTTTGCGGATTCATCTCGGAATTTATTGCAAGGGTGTTCATATCCATATTTTCCCAGTACTTTTGATGGAGTTTTTGCCGATTCGTCTTGAAATTTATTATTCTATTAATATTCTTCTCGTGGAAGGATCACTTCGCTATTCAAATTTTATCTTTGTTGATTTCTGTATGGTTCGTTGATGAGTGCTGAAAATTGTTTCCTTCGCCGTGGTTGTAGAAACCAGTTGCTGGATGCGAAGATAACGTCGGTGCTGTCGCTGTGCCACGACCCGGTGATTCTCAACGCGGTGCAGCGAATCATCCAGAACATGGTGGCGTCGTCGGCGGAAGAGCCGTCGTCGTTGTCGTCAACGTCGGGCATGACGGTGGCGTCGGTATCTTCGTCGACGGCGGGAGGTTCTTCTTCGACGACGACGACGACGGCAACGACGACTGCCGGATCCCTGTCGTCGTCGTCGTCTGCGCAAGTGCAGCAGGGGTCTTCGTCGTCGTCGTCGTCTTCGACAGGGGCAACGGGTGCGGGTGGCCATTCTTCCAATTGGCACCAGTTGCATTTTCTGCAGAGCTGCGGATTCGGGGGACTGTGGCGGTTTGCCGGGGCTTTTACCAAAGTAAGACGACGAAATTGCAATCTGGATGGATGACAGACATTTTTGTTTTCTTTCGATTTTTGTTCATATATATATTTTTTTTTGTGTTGCGAGATATCCGTCGGTCTTGTTGACGCTTGAATGCGATTGGACCTCTTTTAAGTCGAATTCCGAGGGACCAGGAAGAAAAGTTCAACTTGTAAGGTTTTGAGTTGGGGAAACTGCCATTTTTACATGAGAAAAATATGTGATCAGCCAAAAAAATATAGTTGAACCTCGATATGTCTATTTCGTTTCCAGTTCCTGTCTGAATTCTATTTAAAACAAAATGGATTGAGAATCTTCCTAACTCAAAAGCTTTCCCCCTTGAATCTCTTCTCCTTGAATTTTCTGAGGACCTTCTGGCTAGTACACAGGAAAGCGAAAAACAATTGAAAAAAGTGACTTGATGCATTATGAAAGGATTAGAAAAATTGTTTTGGGCAAATGAGCCCTTGCCTCCAAGTTTAGCGTCCTGTATAATTATTTATGAACCAATTTAGGGCCAAGAAGATCACCAATTACGATATCCTGCATTTCTTCTTCTGTTTTCCTAAACAAAAATGCTCGTTTCCCAGACTGAAAACCTGGCTAAGTCGATTTTATTTTGCTGGTCCCCTTGACGTTTGACAAGAATAGGTTTGAGTCTGTCTGAAAATTTACCTGGAGTGTTTCATCAANAAGAAAGATTTAAAGTGGGGAGAGTTCAGGGAAACTGAAAAAAAAATAATGTTGAAGAGCTGAAATTATTGATTTTTTTGTTCGCAAAACTGCCTTGTAAAGAAGTTGACAGGATGC